CCCATGTAAGCCATTTGATTTGTTGCCCCTCAAAAAGGCAGGTGGGTGAAGCATCACTCAGAAACAAACTATCTGAACCCTGAGCTTCAAACCACTGTTTGAAGCCACATTGTAACAGTAGTACATGCCCTGTTTGTCCCTCAGTCAGCCCTCAGCATATATACAGCGCTGCCTTTCCTTTGTCCTTTGCCAAGACATCAGTTGTCCTTCCCTGTTTGCTCTTGTGTTTTCCCCATATGGCTCTCTGCTCCCCTTGTGTATTTTGGATCTCAGCTTTTGTTCCCTTTTTCATTTGCTATTTGGACTTTGTTCATTTGAACTTCATGTATCAGCCAAATTAAAGGTTTGACTTTGTTATTTCTGTCTGCTTTGGTGTCAGCATTTGCATCCTCGTGTCTAACACCTCTCCAGACAGAAATGTGAAAAAAGGAAAGATCTGTAGTCCTAATATAATTTATTTAGTTTGTATCAGTATCAGTGATGTATTAGTACCGCCATCTTTGTTAGCATAATGTTTGACTATTTAGATCTACTGCGTGGGTATTTGTTTTCTTGTACGTTAAATGATTTTAAATAGTTCATTTAAAATAATTGCAAACATGCCAAGCCGGAATCATTTGCCTAATTATTTACTTGTTGATTATTCCTTGTGTTCGTTTGCATTTATCTTTGAATACTTAATCGCCCTCCATTTTTGGAAGCTTATGGTTGCGCTTCCTGATAAACTAATTCATTACTGTAATGATGTGCCTGAGTCACCCATTCAAGTGACAGAATTGGCCACCAGTTTTTTCCCCCCCCTATGCAGCTAAAGCCTTCTCTCAAAGGAGGGCAGACGCCACCGTTATCCCAACTTAGTCATAATATACAGCTGCTTGTATGTCTGCTGCAGTCACCATATTCATCACTGAAAGTGACATTGCGTTATGCTGACTCTCCCCTGGGGAATGTTAACATTAAACCATCATGCTCATGCGTCTCCATGATAGCTCGGAGAGGGCTTTGCGGGGGGAAGAGGGTGTGTGAAAACTTCCATATTAAAAGCATTATAAGGAGCAGATTTTTCACTCCCACCTCCCTCATGAAAAATGTACAGCGGCATATTCATTACTTCATTGAGCTAACTGAGTGTGACAAGCGGAGAGCTGCAGCAACCGAGGGCAGGGAAGCAGCGCTACAATAAAGCCTTCGGCCACTCTCTGAGGACATGGCTACCCCTGCTGCTCGTGGGAGCTACATCTATGCGCTCTGTTTGGATTTTTCCAAATGGTTGAGGGTGCCACACACAGCATGACACAGACTACACTGCAGCCAATTTGCCCTCTAATCTAATGCATTCATGGTCAACGGGCAGTAATCAATTCAGTGCCTTTACAGTGTGATGAATTTGACCCACGAGTTATGACTTAGGGCCCTTGTGCTATAAATATGGTCATGCATTTTCAGCAGTTTACAAGACATACGGACAAAATCCCAGCCGCGGATGCTTTATGCAACAAACGTCGACGGGGCTCTGTTGTATGAACTCTATTGCATATCATGCATACAGAGATGGCTGTATAGAGGAATTACTTTTATGAGCTGTGGCCCCAAAGGTATTGCTGTCTAATATATCAAACCTTTATGCGGGAGTGATACACATGCAGACATTAATATCTGTCTTTCATCTCTTTGCGTTTATCTGTTTAATTTTTTTTGCAGCTCCTCCTTCCAGTGATAAACGATGCTGTCTATCCCCATTCTAAAGCATCCTCTCCGCCCCGTGATGATGCGCTCCCCACGTGCCAGGTGGCCGCCTCACCTCCTAGCCCTGCCTGTACGATCCTGAGGTGTCATACCGACTCACCCTCAACCCTCTAATTAACAAAAATACTGGCTCTGCTGCCCCGGAGCAGCATCGGCCTATATTGTCTTCAGAAAGCCGGCGCTACGTTTGGGAGTTTGCTTTGATGACCCTCTGCAGCGACAGCAGCATCGGAGACAACAGCGGCTCTTAATCCAGAGCAACAGTTATTTCTCAGATGAATGCAGACTGTGCAAATTAGTGGCTGCCGCACTATAGCATTGGACCTGGCACCACAGGCGAGATGTGAGATTTAAATTATTTCTGAGACTGTGGAGGAGTCTAGAGAATAGCAGACAAGCTGACTAATAACACAGGATTCAGTAACAAGGGCTGCTCCGATGGTAATGACTGCTTGCTCCAGAAATATCTGATTCCTTGCAAAAAAGAAAAAAAAAATAATACAGTCATCTCAAGCCTAGTCTGGTATTTAAAATCCTGCAGCAACAAAAAAAACCCTCTGAAATAATTGGTAGACAAAAGCATTGGAAGGAATACAGTGTGATACAGTTATAACCTCTCAAAAGGGAAGGATTAATGGAATCCAACTCCAGTAAGTCATGTGGACCTCTAGACCCACATATAACTGAATTCCTACAAAATACTTGAAAATCTGCACACTTCAAGCCACAAGACTGTTGTGACAATGGTGTTATATACCAAAAAAAGTAATTTCAAAAAGAAAGCCATAGAAGATTTCATAAGTGTCATTCCTGGTCTCCTTTTGTGGAGGAGCACTGTGTGGGAGTTGGGCATATTCACCAGTCGGTTATCAGAATAACTCTAATTAGGCTATTTTTAACACATCCTTTTCAACAGCTCTTGGGTGTTTACATTTCCTAATGACAGCCCGAGAAAAAATCATCTATCAGCAAGCATCACCATCATCACCACCACTGACACATTAGCATCAGTTCTCTCCCAAGAAAAAAGATGTCAGGGTGCCTTCAGTATTCATTATAAAGCACGCACGCCCCATCGTGCCTGTAAATTTGTGGGGCATTTATTTACATTTGTACGTTAAATTTCAGACAACTCGAGGAGGCTAATTAATAGGCAGCGAGGCACATAGTATTCCTGTGCTTTTTGGCTTCAGTGAATACGAGACGGCTCTTTCAAAGCCTGCACATTCACCAGATTACAGCCTTTGTAAAAAACACTTTTTGCTGTTGCTGTGTGATTTACATAATTTTCATTTAGTTTACTGTCGGCTTTAAAAGAAAATTAAAAATAAAAACGAAACAGAGCCTACATTTGAAGTCTCTCTGTGCTAAAAGCACTTCAGGCTTGGAAAACAACTTGTTTAGCCTTCATGAGCAAAAATAAATAAAAAAATAATTTAATTTAATAATATGTCTTCAGGGACTTCGGTCAAAGTCGGTGTTGGACTTGTGGTCACCTTGGTAGTTCTGAATTTATAGTGCATCATCATGACAGTACAGCTGAGACTTTTATTTTTTGCTGTGATATTTGTGGACTGTCATTGAATTCAAAAGGGACTGAGTTGCTCTGCTTCATCTTATGTCTAGGCTCTACTGCTCCATCTTGTGGTTTCTTGAGGGAAAAGCGGGCAACTTTTAAAAAGGAGGGGGTTTAAACGGCTCCTTACCAATCACGGGAAGTAATGTGGCGTTCTCCGAGGAGGAGACACACAGTTCACTAACCCTGAGGCTGGGCCAAGTCTTCCCTTTATCATTTGCCACTAAAACAACATTTGTGTAGAGTATTTTTCCAGGGCATGGCTGACTAAATGTTTTTATGTGGTCAGAGTGATAAATCAGTAGGTGTAGCTTGCCAAAATATAGAAGCTCAGAGGGAACATTATTAGTTATGAAAGCTCCCCTGAAGTGAATCAGCGTGGTGTGGCATCCAGAATGGATACAATGTGATGTTTTTAGACCTTTGCTCTATTATATTATTACAAATACAGAATAATGTGCTCAGGTATGTGAAGCTGCACGTCCACGCTCAGCACACAGGTCTACATGTCAGTAATTTGATCCGAGCAGGAAACGAACCCAGTCTCTGGGCAACGAGCGCTCACTGCACAAACTCACAGGAGCCTTCAAGGAATTTCCTCCCAGGCAGTAATGACTGCAGTTTTGGATCCCTTCAAGCCTTTTTCCTCAGAGCTTCACGTCATCAGGCGGCTGAACTCCAGTTTGCAACGAGATGGTAGGAGAGATAGACCTAACACTGGACATGTAGGCTCCCTTAGACTTCAGCCCCCCGCTGAGCACGTCACCCTGGCTCCTTTGCGAGATGATGTCCCCCTGTTGGACCCCTGCTGCGGTCAGCTGAGTGCTGGAGCTGAGGTAGTCCTGGGCCTCAAAGGTCGAAAGAAATTCATAGATTTTGATCATGTCCCCTCTGCTCTGTGGGTCCCTCCCGGTTTCAGAGAGAGGCCTCAAACAACCCCAAACCTCTCAGTGGTGTGTGTAGACCTGAGCGAGGACAAGGCCTGGAACTCCAGGAGGATCCCCCATGCGGCTCTGAGAGCAAGACTGAGTGGTAAAAAACAAACAAACAGAAGCATATTTTAAATACTGTGCAAGTCAGAGCCTTGAAATTGGATAGTTCATCTATTGTTGAGTGATAAAGGCTTGATTGCTAACAGGGCAACTACCCCTAGAGGGAAAAAAAACAAGCTGAAATTTTGTCAAATATGAAGACCTTTTGCTTTTCTTTATCTCATATGGGAGTAAATGCTCCTTTAAATTTGTGCTTCGATGTTTGGAATTACATAACGTTTGACTATATTATATATAGATATTATCTCAGTTGTTTTTTCACGATGCACCAAATGAATAACCAACAATTGAAAAAATTAAGTGTCAGTTTAATATATCGCTTGCCCCCCCAAAGGAAAATCTGCTGAGCTGTTGCATTGTGAATACAAATTAAAAAACAGTTTAAAGAGTAAATTATCCCTTGGCTGAAAAGCTGCAGTATCACCACGCTGTCTGGTCGAATTTCAAGGTTGTTTCATCAATCTTCTTGTTTTCATTGTAATGATTATGGATGATGGCTGCGGCAGGGTGACAGATCGAAACACTAGATGTTTTATTTTCATAAAAACAATTATAAAAATAAATTAAATAATGAATAAATGTATAAAATCTTTATATATTAGGCTCTACAGAAACAGTAATCAAACAAACAAAACATAAAGCACCCACAATGATTCAAATTATTAGCTGTAGCTACCTGCTGTTGGGTGCTGCAGTGCCCCCTTCTGGTCACTTCATATTAGTGGTCTTCATGCAGGCACAGCGTGAAGTTCAGCGTGGAAGCCAATTTTACTCAAAAAATGTTAGACACCTGTTCAACTGCTCATTAATGTAAGTCTTTAATCAGCCAGTCAACACATTGATTATTGTGTAATTACATCTAAAAAACATAGAAGCGCGTTTGTGTAGCTTTAAATTGAAACTGAGCATAGGTGAGAAAGGTGATTTATTGGTGTCTGACAGGCTGGTATGAGTATTTCAGAAAAAAATTGCAAGTTTTACAGCGAAACTGAAAAAAATAAATATATTGGAGTATTCTTAACAAAAACTCGTTGTTTAAGTTACAGTGTGTAAAATCTTACCACTAGATGGCAGTAGATTGCAGTCAACTGAATTTTGTTTTCTTTCTCCTCCCAATTCAAGCGCATAATCCAAACTATGGTGGCCACTGCAGAACAAATATGTTTTATTTCTTTAAACTATGTCTTTTTTTAAATGATACTTTTCACAGTTTAGTCAGCCAAGAGTAATCAACAACATCCCGTTACAGCCATAGCCAGCTGGTGTGCGTGACTGTTTGTGTAAAAGATATTTTTGGACACACTATATTATAGCACATTAAAACAATATAAACACTTAGCAATAAATTAGTCATTTAAAAAAGGGCTATGCATGAATAAAATATTCAGTTTTACGTTTTTACCCCTGAGTTAACTACTGTTCATTTGTTGTGAGTGTTTGCTGTTAGTCCACTGTTTTCCTCAGCTGTCAGAGAAGTGTCTACTTTTATTTACTCTGGAGGAGGCTTTAACACTCTTTGAATGGGTCCAATGCCAACTGATGAGTGAGTGAAGCTTCTGTACAGTGATAGTGATACTGAGGTGAATTGTTGAGGATATCTTGACATTTTCTGTTGATAAGAGCTGCTGGGTTTGCTGCTGTTGGTGAAATTTAACATCAAAGTTGATCTAACTGTTGTCAGACTTGGACACTTAGTGAATAAGAACTCGTGGTAAATGCCATGAAAGCATGGATCCCTACATTTCGTATCAATAGCTCAGGCTGCTGGTGTTTCTTGGCAGACTTAGTGCCCCTTACATGAGGATTGTTGCTGATCATGCTCATCTCTTTACAACTAATACGACTCATCTTATGATGGCTGCTCTAGCAGGATAATGTGCCTTGTCCCAAAGCTCAGATAATCTTGAACTGGTTCTTTGAACATAACATTGAGTTTACTGTAGACAAATGGTCTCAATAGTCACCAGATCTCAGGCGAATAGAGCACTTTTGGGGAGATTCACATCAGTGATGTGCAGCTAACAAATCTGCAGCAACTGTCAACATGGCCATCAATAATGTTTCTAGCACCTTGCTCAATCTGTGACGGAACAATTAAGTATCTATTGTTACCCTAAAAATTATTAGCTTGTAAGCTTTTTGTTTTATAAAATATTAAACATTACATTACTTTAAGCTAAATATTGCTGCTTTTTTTTTTTTTAGCTAGCATTGGCTAGCTCTAAACAAATAATGCTTGGCTCATCATTTTCTTAGGGCAGTACTTTCCACTGTAAGTTAAATTTGTTTCATTCACTCTCTCTCTTTTTGACATTTAAGCTCCCATTACATTTTTACAGTAAATATACAAATATTAATGAAAGCCTTTTGTTTACTAACGGACTTAAAACTGCTAGCAGCGCTAACTGCCAGAGCTAGCTTTTGAAACAACAGCTCGGCTCATTTCATGTCATAATATGGTTTTATAACATATATAAAAGTTATTCTGCAATTAAATTATTACAACAACCCAAAGCATAAAATACCTGGAGCAGCTACTAAAGAGCATTGGTAATAGGTAGTTGGTATGTACATCTCCAGGCTAAATACTGTATAATTAAGCTTAAGCTGGCATTTGTAGTCTGTTGTGTGCTCTGTGCCTGATGGGTAATTAGAGGCACGACATCCATACACATCCAGACTGGGAGCTGGTCAGCAGGGACCATGGCTGTTTGTTGCTCCAGGGCCTGCTTGCAGGGTAATTTGACCTTGAGGGCAGATACTGCTGTGCATAGTTATAGTTCACAATTTGTCAGAGAATGTATTGTTGTTGTGTCATCCTAAGGTCCAAGTGATCTTGTTAAAATTCAACCTCAGTCACTGAGGACACCAGCAACAGTGAGGATCAGTAACAATCTGCCTGACACACATCCTGGAAATCAGGTGAGTGATGACTGACTGAACTGGTTTCTGTACTGAAGTGCAACTGTGTGACATCTTCAATTTGCTTGTTTTTGCCCAAATGAGAAATGAAAGACTTCACACATTAACAATTCATCAGTTTTCCCTCTTCAGTTTTCCCTCTGAGCACATTAAAGTTGTGTTGATTTATATACTAAATCTTACTACAGTGCCGACGCTGGAAACATTTTGGTTGAACTAATGCAGTTGGCTTGCTTACTATCATTACACTTCATCACAACTGCTGTATTAATCACTTTCCTATCATAACACAAGCACATATTAAGTATTAAATCAGAAATGCGTACCTCACTTACAGTCTCATCACACCTCATATAATACTGCTTATTACGTGGGCAGGTTTTCACTTTGAGGACATAACCTTGCTTTATTATTTTGTTTCTGAAACTGCTAATTGAAACGTCCATAATTACCTTGACACACATTATTGTTGTTTAAGAGAGGTCTCGCAGTGCTCAGTTATTGCAGATAGGTATTTTGTTCAGTGAATAGAGACTTGATTAAAGCCTGCATTTAAGTAGTGTGAAGTTCAGGATCACAGTGGTGATAATACATTTTTAGTATGGAAGTTAACACATGCGCAGTGAAATCAATGGACCTTGTCAACTCTTTTCTGGCAGTACAGTGATTGATGGCCAGAATATAAAAAGCTCCAGGGTGACAGATTCATGATGATAGTGTTTTATCAAGGTTTTATTGAGTCATCTTCTCTTTTATGTATCTGCTAGCAGCAACGCTCAAGGTCACACATATTCACATATTAGTTTTCAATACAATCCCTAATATCTACAACAAAATAATTGGAACAGCGCAGAAAATACTACAGGATGAGTAAAAAAATAATTATATCAGACAGCAGATTCCATACAGCTGATGTTATCTGCTTAGATCGGCAAACAACTGATATTGGCTTATTAGTTATTTGGTGATCTAAGTCAGTTTACAGCAGACGATGATAGAAACACCCTGATGTCCACAAGAGGGCACGCTACAACTTCTCTATTGGGAACACAGGCTTTTGGAACATTACAGACATCCCAACCAGCTGATCCGAGCAGTCAGCCAGAGCTGAATCCACCACGATAGCCTTTTAGTCTTCTTTCCTCTCCTGTACTGCACTGTGCTAGTTTTTTTTCCTTTCGCAAATATAGTAATGTAACATCCTCCACATACTTCTACTAGCTAAAATGATATATATATATATATGCTATAATTAGTTCAAACAGTCCTTTATACTGGAAGCTGGGACTCACGAGAAAGTTCAAGATACAATATTATCAAAATACTTCCCTCATTATTCGATGTTATTGCATTTTTATTTATTTTTTACATTTTGTGATATGCTGAGTATTACAACAGGTGTTGCAAGTTAGGTCCTCAGACTTAAACTTTGTCAGTATCTGTTTTATCCAATAAGATAAACTTATCTCACTTCTGCCATATCACACTTTCCATAAATGTTGACATAAGATGAGCCAGTCCGCTATCAGTCCACTATCAGTCTGTGATAGAGTGGGGTCAAGTTGGCAGTTACATGCAGTCTGTTTCTGATAACACAGAAATTAAGTGTAATAAACTTTTGACATAACATAGCTTATAGTGTCTGCATAGAAATAAATACACAATGAACAGAAATGTATATTTAACTGTTAAATTTGCTACCTTCTTGTTCAAGAGGAAGATAACCAGAATACAACCAGCCGGCAGCCAGTTGAGTCGAGTCCCCTGGAATTGTGCTCACGCAGACTGATAACAGAGGTTGCCTTCTATCTGGTGATCTTCGCAATCGCCTTGCAATCAAAAGTTGTCATGAGTGTGCAACGGCCTCAAGCTCTGAGCAATCATTTGGTCACCGCAAGTTGCATGTAAAACAATTTAATGTGGTCACCAGGCAGCCACCATTCTTTGTAGAAAGAAGGATGTTGTCCTATTTCTACACATGTGACTGAAATTAGTTGGCTCTGAATTAGGTGGTAGCTAGAATGTTTTTTTTGGTGGAGTCTACTTTATACTCTTATTTCATCTCCCTCTTTAACTAAAGGAGGAAACGCCAGTTTACTTTTGCTTTGCATTTGCTATTCCTCTGGTTTTGCTGTGTTTTCAGCATTGTGTCTACACGCCTCGTTCTTTTATGCACAAAGCTGCAAAACCAATAGAATCTGAATGCTGCCCGCTCATGTGTAAAAACGTCAAATACTGCGATTGACTCACTCGGATGCACTTTGGAGTGAATATAGGAATTTGTGTGTCTTTGTTTTGCATTAGTCATTAAGAGAACATCCTGATATTTTGTGCTTTTAGGCACACTCAGCTTTAGGGGTGGTAATTACAGCCTGTTTGTTGGTCACGACTGAAAGATCTCGAGCACTACTGGATGGATTTCCATAAATTTTGATTCAGACGTCATTGACCCCCGTAGGATGAGCCTCATTATCCATTTATGTTTACTTGATGAATCTGAGCTCAGATGAATTTTCACCGATTGTGTCAGATTTCCTGCATTTATCAGGGGTAATTTGAAAGATCATTTGGCTGGTGCCATCGCTAATTAATGGTCTGATGCCAGGTGAGAATTTAAGTGAGAAATTATGGTTTTTAATAGCGTTTTTTAAAATAATGGTTTTCAATAATGTTGAGTATAATTATATTAATAATAACAGGTAAAAAAATAAAACCTACACTCATCATTAGATGTGTTAAAAATACATACGTGAGCCTCATGATTTCCAGTTGAACACGATACTGATAAATCTTCTGATATTGCTTTTTAAGGATCCAGGAGTCGGGCGGGATATCTCACCAGCAGTTCGACACTTCAGATACACTTCTGCAACACAGAGGTCAGAACACAGGCACCTTTAATTGGCTCCTTTCAATAATAATAACATCGAACAAAGTTTACCTCCTGATTACTGATATGCGAAGTCCACACACGATGTGGTTGCTTTGAGGGTTATCGGGAGGGAATAGGTTTGATTTTGTGCTCCGTTGATGTCATCAGGGAACAATGCGTCCTCTTGTTGTGTTAATTACTCTTTAATGAAATCAGGCAAATGAACTGTAGCCTTGCTTAAAGCCTCGGGGAAGAATCGGCTCCCCAGTTAATAAGCTGTCTAATATATTTTGTGCAACGAAGGAGGCTGGTTAAGAATTCAAATTAAAGCAAATAACTTTCGGGAATCAAGTTAATCAATTGCACTCAAGGCACTCGGTCCACATGTCTAATGGCCAGAAGTCCTAATTTCTCTGCAGGAGTTATGAGGACGCTGGATGGATTGCAAAGGTACCGCGGCACTTGAAGGCACCAGAAGCAACCCTGGAGAAACTGGCAGACCCAGTGAGTGAGCGTGCCTCACTGAGGCGCTACAACAGCCGACCTCAGCTGTGGCAGGTGAGCCATGGAGAGTGTTTGCATGTTGGCAAACACTGCCGAGGCATGAGCTCTGTTTTCTTGGCCCCAGCAGAGGGCTTCTGGGGGTTTAGATCATTCACACAACTGAGGGAAATTGGATTTTTGGATGGTTATTGTTTCTCAAAGGCAATTTTCATAATAACCCATGCATAGGTGTGCTAATATTTTGTATTTGGTTTTAATAAAAGTGATAAATGTGATGAAGAAATGCAGTTAATTACCTGTCAGTCTTGACCTTTTGGCATACAGTGTGTGTAGCAGGGAGACTGAAAGAAGCAGATATGCAGCTTAATATTTCTGTATTTCTCTCCTTTACGTGAAAAGGCCAAAATAAATCTGGTTCTCCTGTCTGGCATTGATGCCGTGGATGCTGCTACATCCAGCAGCTACTTGAACTAACAAATTAATTTGATAGCATGCCCCAAATTTCTGACATTTCAG